ATGTTTTGGGGCTGTCGCTGGGCAACACGGACTTTCAACTCCCTCCAAAGATTGTCTATGGGGTTGAGATCTGGAGACTCGCTAGGCCACTCCAGGACCTTGAAATGCTTCTTAAGAAGCCACTCCTTCGTTGCCCGGGCGGTGTGTTTGGGATCATTGTCATGCTGAAAGACCCAGCCACATTTCATCTTCAATGCCCTTGCTGATGGAAGGAGGTTTTCACTCAAAATCTCACGATACATGGCCCCATTCATTCTTTCCTTTACACGGATCAGTCGTCCTGGTCCCTTTGCAGAAAAACAGCCCCAAAGCATGATGTTTCCACCCCCATGCTTCACAGTAGGTATGGTGTTCTTTGGATGCAACTCAGCATTCTTTGTCCTCCAAACACGACGAGTTGAGTTTTTACCAAAGAGTTCTATTTTGGTTTCATCTGACCATATGACATTCTCCCAATCCTCTTCTGGATCATCCAAATGCACTCTAGCAAACTTCAGACGGGCCTGGACATGTACTGGCTTAAGCAGGGGGACACGTCTGGCACTGCAGGATTTGAGTCCCTGGCGGCGTAGTGTGTTACTGATGGTAGGCTTTGTTACTTTGGTCCCAGCTCTCTGCAGGTCATTCACTAGGTCCCCCCGTGTGGTTCTGGGATTTTTGCTCACCGTTCTTGTGATCATTTTGACCCCACGGGGTGAGATTATCAGTGGTCTTGTATGTCTTCCATTTCTTAATAATTGCTCCCACAGTTGATTTCTTCAAACCAAGCTGCTTACCTATTGCAGATTCAGTCTTCCCAGCCTGGTGCAGGTCTACAATTTTGTTTCTGGTGTCCTTTGACAGCTCTTTGGTCTTGGCCATAGTGGAGTTTGGAGTGTGACTGTTTGAGGTTGTGGACAGGTGTCTTTTATACTGATAACAAGTTCAAACAGGTGTCATTAATACAGGTAACAAGTGGAGGACAGAGGAGCCTCTTAAAGAAGAAGTTACAGGTCTGTGAGAGCCAGAAATCGTACTTGTTTGTAGGTGACCAAATACTTATTTTCCACCATAATTTGCAAATAAATTCATAAAAAATCCTACAATGTGATTTTCTGGATTTTTTTTCCTCAATTTGTCTGTCATAGTTGACGTGTACCTATGATGAAAATTACAGGCCTCTCTCATCTTTTTAAGTGGGAGAACTTGCACAATTGGTGGCTGACTAAATACTTTTTTCCCCCACTGTATGTAGGGGTAAAGTGACTGCACAGATAATAACAGTGAGTAGAAGCAGTGTAAAAACAAAGAGTTGGGGGGTGTCAATGTAAATAGTCCGGGTGGCCATTTGATTAATTGTTCAGCATTCTTATGGTAGAAGCTGTTAAGGAGCCTTTTGGACCTAGACTTGGCGCTCCAGTATCGCTTGCCATGCGGTAGCAGAGAGAACAGTCTATGACTTGGGTGACTGGAGACTTTGACCATTTTTTGGGCCTTCCTCTGACACCGCCTAGTATAGAGGTCCTGGATGGCAGGAAGCTCTTGATGGTGCAGCTGTATAACTTCGTGAGGATCTGGGGACCCATGCCAAATATTTTCAGTCTCCTGAGGGGGAAAAGGTGTTGTCGTGCCCTCTTCATGACTGTCTTGGTGTGTTTGGACCATTATAGTTTGTTGGTGATGTGGACACCAAGGAACTTGAAACTCTCGACCCGCTCCACTACAGCCCCGTCGATGTGAATGGGGGCGTGTTCGGCCCTCCTTTTCCTGTAGTCCACGATCATCTCCTTTTGTCTTGCTCACGGTGAGGGAGAGGTTGTTGTCCTGGCACCACCCTGCCAGGTCTCTGACCTCCTCCCTATAGGCTGTCTCATCGTTGTCGGTGATCAGGCCTACCACTGTTGTGTCGTCAGCAAACGTAATGATGGTGTTGGAGTCGTGCTTGGCCACACAGTCGTGGGTGAACAGGGAGTACAGGAGGGGACTAAGCACGCACCCCTGAGGGGCCCCCGTGTTGAGGATCAGCATGGCAGATGTGTTGTTGATGTGTTGTAGACAGAGACAGAATTTCTAGGACTGAACATCCATGGATATCAAAATTATAGTTTTAACCATGTTTTGAGGCTATTAAATGTTTGTTTACATTTCCTTTATTTACAAACATTGGAGTAAAGCAAGCTTATATTTTGGTATCTGATGGTATACAGCAGCTGAACTAAGCTCATGGGGCATTTGTAAGATATATTCTTCAAGAATCAATAGATACATATCATTAAGTCCAAAAATGGATGTAGCAACTGCAGATGTACCCTTTAAGCGCTCGATTCAATATAGAGCGCGGAAGACCTGCCTTGTAGCGCGGTTGACGTTTTAAGGTCATTTATGATTGAGCCAGGAGGGAGAGAGGGTAGTGGGGAGAGAGGTGACAAGGGGTGGGTGAAAGCAGAGAGAGAAATGAAATATGCAGAGAGAATTTATTTTATATTTCATTCAATTTAAAACGTTTTATTATAGGACCATTTGGGAACTTTAAGTCAGAACTTACAGGCTACTGAACTGTTGTGTAACAAACACATTTATCAGATCTTAGGTTTGAATCTTAATACTCTTACAACGCTTCCTCTCCTGTTCACCTTTCAACAGGATATGCCAATTAACAGTCTAAAAACCACTTGAGGGCAATTAAATCAGGTTTGACTGTTCAAACACAAGTCACATGGCCAGGAATCAGATTTTTACCTGACAGAGGGAGGTGGTGAGGCAATTATGGTGGGGGCTGATGGGGCAATGGATACACTGCAAAAAATTGACACACAAATACTGAAATGTCAGATTCCATGTGCTTTTTGGCTGTTCAGACTGCAGGGAAAAAGTACAGATTGGAATCGGAATTCTATTCTGCTATTGATCAAAAACATATTTTATGGAAACATAGTTTGTCTTTATTCATTGTGTACAGTAACAATATGGCAGTTTAAGCTTTCAATCATATTGAGGTACATACGACAAGCGTCAATCCCCTTTTAGGAACATTAAGGCATTGCATCAATTTTTATAAAACATATGTAAAATATGTCTTCAATTAATCAATTAATCATTGCTAAAAGTCAAACTGTTCGTAACAAGATTTGTTTACTCACAGTTCTTCTGAGCATTTATTATTGCACCAATACATTTTACTCATCTAGGGGTATTTAGAACAGCCATGTTAGAAATTAACACAAGCGAGATGACCAATGATGTACTCTACCGTTCAAAAGTTTGGGGTCACTTAGAAATGTCCTTGTTTTTGAAAGAAAAGCAATTTTTTTTGTCCATTAAAGTAACATCAAATTGCTCAGAAATCCAGTGTAGACATTGTTTATGTTGTAAATGGCTACTGTAGCTGGAAATGGCAATTTTTAATGGAATATCTACATAGACGTACAGAGGCCCATTATCAGCAACCATCAGTCCTGTGTTCCAATGGCACGTTGTGTTTGCTAATACAAGTTTATCATTTTAAAAGGCTAATTGATCATTAGAAAACCCTTTTGCAATTATGTTAGCACAGCTGAAAACTGTTGTGCTGATTAAAGAAACAATAAAACTGGCCTTCTTGAGACTAGTGGAGTATCTGGAGCATCAGCAATCGTGGGTTCGATTACAGGCTCAAAATGGCCAGAAACAAAGAACATTCTTCTGAAACTCGTCAGTCTATTCTTGTTCTGAGAAATGAAGGCTATTCCATGCGAGAAATTGCCAAGAAACTGAAGATCTCGTACAACGCTGTGTACTACTCCCTTCACAGAACAGCACAAACTGGCTCTAACCAGAATAGAAAGAGGAGTGGGAGGCCCCGGTGCACATGTGAGCAAGAGGACAAATACATTAGAGTGTCTAGTTTGAGAAACAGACGCCTCACAGGTCCTCAATGAAGCTGCCAGTTGAGGACCTGTGAGGCGTCTGTTTCTCAAACTAGACTACTTTCAGGGTGATGAACCATCTTACATTAAATTATAAAATACTGAATTTCCCCTTTAATGAAAATGATGTTGCATTTTTAGAGGATGTTCCTATTGTATAGTGAAGAAAAGTTGGTTTGTGTTACACCTGTGATGTTTGAACTGATGTCTAGTTTGAGAAACAGACGCCTCACAGGTCCTCAACTGACAGCTTCATTAAATAGTACCCGCAAAACACCAGTCTCAACGTCAACAGTGAAGAGGCGACTCTGGGATGCTAACCTTCTAGGCAGAGTTGCAAAGAAAAAGCCATATCTCAGACTGGCCAATAAAAACAAAAGATGAAGATGGGCAAAAGAACACAGACACTGGACAGAGGAAGATTGGAAAAAAGTGTTATGGACAGACAAATCGAAGTTTGAGGTGTTGGGATCACAAAGAAGAACATTTGTGAGACGCAGACCAAATGAAAAGATGCTGGAGGAGTGCTTGATGCCATCTGTCAAGCATGGTGGAGGCAATGTGATGGTCTGGGGGTGCTTTGGTGGTGGTAAAGTGGGAGATTTGTACAGGGTAAAAGGGATCTTGAAGAAGGAAGGCTATCACTCCATTTTGCAACGCCATGCCATACCCTGTGGACGGCGCTTGATCTGAGCTAATTTCCTCCTACAACAGGACAATGCACAACTCCAAACTATGCAATAACTATTTAGGGAAGAAGCAGTCAGCTGGTTTTCTGTCTATAATGGAGTGGCCAGCACAGTCACCGGATCTCAACCCGATTGAGCAGTTGTGGGAGCAGCTTGACCGTATGGTACGTAAGAAGTGCCCATCAAGCCAATCCAACTTGTGAGAGGTGCTTCAGGAAGCATGGGTTGAAATCTCTTCAGATTACCTCAACAAATTGACAACTAGAATGACAAAGGTCTGCAAGGCTGTAATTGCTGCAAATGGAGGATTCTTTGACGAAAAGCAAAGTTTGAAGGACACAATTATTATTTCAATTAAAAATCATTATTTCTAACCTTGTCAATGACTACATTTCCTATTCATTTTGCTATAATTCCTATTCAAACTCATTTCATGTATGTTTTCATGGAAAACAAGGAACTTTCTAAGTGACCCCAAACTTTTGAACGGTAGTGTATATATACACACATCATTGGAGATTACCCTTGATTCAAAGTGCTAATATTTTAAGTGTGTATACTAAGGCTTATTTAATTATGGCTTTAAATACTCCCATCTTTTCAAACAACCAGAGATAAAAGGTATTATTACCTACATTTCAACATCATGCACACAAATGTTATCTAACTAAATGTCCCAGTTACTTGAGCATGGCAGTCTCCTACAGCATTCATCATATATGTATACCCTATAAAGGCAAAGTGCACTATCTGCTTAAAATAAGTATTTTCTGTCCAGACATACAGCAATTTCTGGTACTTCATGATATATTCTGATTGACTGGCTTGTTCTTGTCAGGAAACTAAATGCCTTATTATCACATATTACACCAGGCCATTACAACAGATAAAACATTTTTTTTACCACATTTTCAGATACTGCACTTTGCTTTTGCAGGGCAAAAAAAATACAGGCACAAAAAAAGGTAAACAGTTTTTTCTTGTGTGTGTATGTTGTTTCATACACAGTGTCTACAGGAGTACAGTATATCCGATATCTGTAGTCAAAAAGTATTATTGTTATTATTAAGTACAGTACAGTACAATACTGTAGGCCTTTTCTGCAATAGACATGTATTTCGTTAGTGAGCTAATGGCAGGTTCTTGCATGAAAACAATAGCAACCCAACAATTCTACTTCCGCCTGATGTTGCGGGTCACCCTTGTAGACAGGTTGGTTTGCGTCATGGCTGCAAAAGACAGAGACATATAGAGAATGCTTCAAACAAGGCCTAAATACATATTGTCATTCCTTTTCTAGAAAATACTAGGCCTAAATACTACTATAAGAATGACTACCTTCAGAAGTGATCACACTAAAGTTGTCTCCTCGAACATGAGTTACACATCGTCTGCAAGGCTACACACATCTTGAGGCCTCCTACCTGAGAAGTCCAGCTTGTAGGCCTGTCCATTGACAGTGAAGGACATGGATCCATTGGAGTCCTGCTGGTACTGGTCTTCAATGTCAGCACTGGACACTGAGCTTGCACTGTCTTTAAAGGTGTGCCATCGCCCACTTTTCCCCCCAAACTGCCACTCTGGAGATCCACTCTGGCCCGCTGGGGACATCTTTATTCTCTGGAAAGCAGACGTCACTCGACCAGTTCTGTTCAATCAGAGAGACCGTTCCATTTACCTCAAGTAAATTATCAATACATTAAAAATCAGCATATTCAAATAATGAGGGTTTTATCTATGGCACAGTCAATGTCTTCTCCTAAAGGGTAAATCCGTTCAATTGTACTTACAGATTTCCGCTTTGGGGTGGTTGGTACTTTGGACGACGGACAACTTTTCTCTTCCTCTTGCTGCTCACCTGTCTCATTTCTGAGACACACACACACACAAATAATGAACAAAGAAACTAATAAGCAACGCAGAAAATGTAATCTTATTCACATACTTTCACTTTGCCAGTTACGTTGAGTCTTTCTGTTTTGAGTGAGTCACAGACTGGCATAAGCTTGGCATCGACCACAAGGCGCTACAGTGGGTAGTACGTACTGCCCAGTACATCCAGGAGCTCTATAACAGGCGGTGTCAGAGGAACGCGCTAAAAATGTGTATATGTATACATACATATTACGTTACAGCCTTATTCTAAAATGGATTAAATAAAAAAAATGTCCTCAGCAATCTACACACAATACCCCATAAGGACAAAGCGAAAACAGGTTTAAAGAAATGTTTGCAAATTTATTAAAAACAGAAATACCTTATTTACATACAGTACCAGTCAAAAGATGTGGACACACCTACTCATTCAAATGTTTTTCTTTATTTTTACTATTTTCTACACTGTAGAATAATAGTGAAGACATCAAAACTATGAAATAACACATATGGGATCATGTAGTAACCAAATAAAGTGTTAAACAAATCATTTTATATTTTAGATTCTTCAAAGTAGCCACCCTTTGCCTTGATGGCAGCTTTGCACACTCTTGGCATTCTCTCAACCAGCTTCATGAGGTAGTCACCTGGAATGCATTTCAATTAACAGGTGTGCCTTGTTAAAGGCTAATTTGTGGAATTTCTTTCCTTCTTAATGCGTTTGAGCCAATCAGGTGGTATACAGAATATAGCCCTATTTGGTAAAAGACCCAAGTCCATATTATGGCAAGAACAGCTCAAATAAGCAAAGAGAAACGACAGTCCATCATTACTTTAAGACATGAAGGTCAGTCAATCCGGAAAATGTCAAGAACTTTGAAAGTTTCTTCAAGTGCAGTCGCAAAAAACATCAAGCGCTATGATGAAACGGGCTCTCATGAGGACCGCCACAGGAATGGAAGACCCAGATTTACCTCTGCTGCAGAGGATAAGTTCATTAGAGTTACCAGCCTCAGAAATTGCAGCCCAAATAAATGCTTCACAGAGTTCAAGTAACAGACATCTCAACATCAACTTTTCAGAGGAGACCGCGTGAATCAGGCCTTCATGGTCGAATTGCTGCAAAGAAACCACTACTAAAGGACACCAATAAGAAGAAGAGACTTACTTGGGCCAAGAAACACAAGCAATGGACATTAGACCGGTGGAAATCTGTCCTTTGGCCTGATGAGTCCAAATTTGAGATTTTTGGTTCCAACCGCCGTGTCTTTGTGAGACGCAGAGTAGGTGAACGGATGATCTCCACGTGTGGTTCCCACCGTGAAGCATGGAGGAAGAGGGGTGATGGTGTGGGGGTGCTTTGCTGGTGACACTGTCAGTGATTTATTTAGAATTCAAGGCACACTTAACCAGCATGGCTACCACAGCATTCTGCAGCGATACATCATCCCATCTGGTTTGCCCTTAGTGGGATTATTATTTGTTTTTCAACAGGACAATGACCCAACACACCTCCAGGCTGTGTAAGGGCTATTTGACCAAGGAGGAGAGTGATGGAGTGCTGCATCAGATGACCTGGCCTCCACAATCACCAGACCACAACCCAATTGAGATGGTTTGGGATGAGTTGGACCGCAGAGTGAAGGAAAAGCAGCCAACAAGTGCTTGGCATATGTGGGAACTCTTTCAAGACTGTTGGAAAAGCATTCCTCATGAAGCTGGTTGAGAGAATGCCAAGTGTGCAAAGCTGTCATCAAGGCAAAGGGTGGCTACTTTGAAGAATCTAAAATATATTTTGATTTGTTTAACACTTTTTTGGTTACTACATGATTCCATGTGTCATTTCATAGTTTTGATGTCTTCACTATTATTATACAAATGTATAAAACAGTAAAAATAAAGAAAAAACCTTGAATGAGTAGGTGTGTCCAAACTTTTGACTGGTACTGTAAGTATTCAGACCCTTTGCTATGAGACTCGAAATTGAGCTCAGGTGCATCCTGTTTCCATTGATCATCCTTGAGATGTTTCTACAACTTGATTGGAGTCCACCTATGGTAAATTCAATTGATTGGACATGATTTGGAAATGTACCTTTCTATATAAGGTCCCACAGCTCACAGTGCATGTCAGAGCAAAAACCAAGCCATGAGGTCGAAGGAATTGTCCATACAGCTCCGAGACAGGATTGTGTCGTAGGCAGAGATCTGGGGAAGGGTACCAAAACATTTCTGCAGCATTGAAGGTCCCCAAGAACACCAATCAGGCCTTTATGGTAGAGTGGTCAGACGGAAGCCACTCCTCAGTAAAAGGCACATGACAGCCCTCTTGGAGTTCACCAAAAGGTACCTAAAGACTCTCAGACTATGAGAATCATGATTCTCTGGTCTGATGAAACCAAGACTGAACTCTTCGGCCTGAATGTCAATCGTCACGTCTGGAGGAAACCTGGCACCATCCCTACAGTGAAGCATGGTGGTGGCAGCATCATGCTGTGGGGATGTTTTTCAGCGGCAGGGACTGGGAGACTAGTCAGGATCGAGGGAAAGATGAACGGAGCAAAGTACAGAGAGATCCTTGATGAAAACCTGCTCCAGAGCACTCAGGACCTCAGACTGGGGCGAAGGTTCACCTTCCAACAGGACAACGACCCTAAGCACACAGCCAAGACAACGCAGGAGTGGCTTCGGGACTGGCCCAGCCAGAGCCCGGACTTGAACCCGATCGAACATCTCTGGAGAGACCTGAAAATAGCTGTGCAGCGACGCTCCCCATCCAACCTGACAGAGCTTGAGAGGATCTGCAGAGAAGAATGGGAGAAACTCCCCAAATACTGGTGTGCCAAGCTTGTAGCGTCATACCCAAGACGACTCAAGGCTGTAATCGCTGCCAAAGGTGCTTCAAAGTACTGAGTAAAGGGTCTGAATACTTATGTAAATGTTATATTTCAGTTTTTAATTTTTAATAAATTAGCAAACATTTCTAAAAACCTGTTTTTGCTCTGTCATTATGGGGTAATGTGTGTAGATTAATGAGGGGGAAAAACAATTTTAGAATAAGGCTGTAACCTAACAAAATGTGGAAAAAGTGAAGGGGTCTGAACACTTTCCGAAGGCACTGTATATATACATTGTATCGCCTCTATTGTTATTTTATTGTATTACTATTTCCTTTCCTTTAGCAAATGTTTCCTACTTTTTAACTCATTGTTGGGAAAGGGCTCGTAAGTAAGTATTTCATGGTACCAGTTGTATTGGGCGCATGTGACAAATAAAAATGGATTGATTTGATATTCAAGTTTTAATGTCAACATTGGCGTAATGTCAATATAAGCCTTTGTCTTAGGTTTCTTTCAGTCTGACTCACGTCTGAATCGGATCTCGATGGTATCGGAGCCGATGTTGAACGTGAGAGAACCATTACGGTTGCTTTGGAATTTCTTCTCGATCGCAGAACTCTGGATGGGGCCTGGGTTTCCCTTGGGATCCTGAGAGAAAAAACAAACTTCCTGTCACTCAACAATGGTTTCTGGGCCCCTTTTTTTTCTCTCAATAACATTACATGTCATAGGATATTACGTTTCTAAGCTTAATTAAGACTGGAGTAGAGGATTCCAGAGTTCCAAAAGAGGTTTCCATGGTTCAGTTTACTTCCTGAATTGACTGAATTGAAATGGAATTGACCTCAACCCTGGTATCTTCCTAAGTTCAGGTACTAAAGATAAAGGTACACTTGGGGTTGTTGCCTGGTCTTCTGCTGTACCTTTTCTCCATACTTGGTCCAGCCTTTGCTATTAGAGTAGAACCAGATCCACTCTGTCTGCTGACCATCCAAACGCCTCAACCTCAGATTCTTCTTACCGCGGACTCTCATCGCCTTGAAATCAATACTCACTGCCCTACAGAGAGAGAGAGAGAGAGAGAGAGAGAGAGAGAGAGAGAGAGAGAGAGAGCGCGTCTCAATTACCAAAAGTATTATTTCAAAGTCCTTGAAAGACTTTTGATCAGTCAACCAAAGCATGCATGCATATATATATATATATATATAACAAACATGAAAAATAACAAAAAAATATATACATATATATACACATATACATATACATACACAGACAATGTATCTGGCTCTGAACTAAACTAATACCACCAGGTGTACTTCCTCTCCTTACCCATAGGGGGTGTTGTAGATATTGATGCCCTTGGTGTTGGGTTGGGAATACTGTGCCTCCAGGATGTGATCGTTGGCTATGTCCTTCCAGCCATGTCCATCGTCCAACTGCCATTTGTAGGGCCCGCTAAAGTCAAGCTGAGTCCCTGACAGGGAGGCACAAAATGGATACTAGTAAATTATACTCCCAACACACTCATTCATTGCATCCATACATATCTATATTCATGGTCACAAACATATTAGCTTGATTAGGCCATTGTCCAATTTTGGACTTGGTCAATTAACATTTCTAAACGTTTCAAGGTTTATGGATTGAATGGAAGCAAACGTTTTTTTTTTTTCTCTTGTTCCATTGCTGCAACTCCCGTACGGACTCGGGAGAGGCAAAGGTCGAGAGCCATGCGTCCTCCGAAACACGACCATGACAAGCCGCACTGCTTCTTAACACACTATTCGCTTAACCCGGAAGCCAGCCGCACCAATGTGTTGGAGGAAACACCGTACAACTGGCGACCGTGTAAGCGTGCATGCGCCCGACCTGCCACAGGAGTCGCTAGAGCGTGATGGGACAAGGACATCCCGGCCGGCCAAACCCTCCCCTAACCCGGACGACGCTGTGTGCCGCCTCATGAGTCTCCCGGTCGCGGCCGGCTGCGAAACAGCCCGGGACCGAACCAGGGTCTGTAGTGATGCCTCAAGCACTGCGATGCAGTGCCTTAGACCGCTGCGCCACTCGGGAGGCCGAATGGAAGCAAACTTGTCGACTCCCTCCCTCACTTGATCCTATTACAGCATAGTACACGTCTCACCTCTAGATGAAGACCTTTCCCTGGCCCCGTCTCCTCTGCTCACTCCAGATAAAGACCTCCTCCTGTCCCTCCTTCCACCTCCTCCTCTCCCTCCAGATGAAGACCTCCTCCTTTCTCTCCCACCTCTGCCTCTACCTCCAGATGAGGAGCTCCTCCTTTCTCTCCCACCTCCTCCTCCTCCTCTCCCTCCAGATGAAGACCTCCTCCTTTCTCTCCCACCTCCTCCTCCTCTCCCTCCAGATGAAGACCTCCTCCTTTCTCTCTTCCCACCACTTCCATCTCTGTCAGAGGAGGAGCTGGGGTGCTTGAGGCGACACTTGGTCCCATTGCGACAGTTGCCTTTCAGGGCGTATTTGCAGACGTGTCGGTAGTGGCACCTTTTCCCATCCCGGCAGTGACCACTGTTGTAGTACCTGCAAGGCTCTTCCTGATCCTGATCAAATATAATATAATCAATCAAACTGAAATAGATATGACAGTATGAATTACACAGAATATATCTGTTAACTATACGTTTTTGGATAAAACCATCCGCTAAATTACCATATTACATATTGTATACATCATATTGTTCACACTTTTCTTTTTAGAAGGAATTATATGGAGTGCCGTTTGTAAAGTTGAACAGTTAATTTGTACAGGCTATTTTATTTATCTTTTACATACACATTTTAATTTGAGCCCCAGATTGAAACTACTAAAATAGAGGATGCTTGATATTTATGGCCTTAGTTCTGACCTTCTGAGACTGGGCTGAGGTAGATGGAGTGTGCCCATGCTGTTGTCCTGCTGCATCACTGTCTGATTCCTCTTCTGTAGCACTACTCTCAGAGTTACTCTCAGAACAGCTGAAGTCCTCCTGGTAGCCATTCCCTTGACTAGGGTCTGGACAGGGAAAATAAATAGAAGAATAGAATAGAACAATAGGAAATAGAAGGGAAGCTGTAATTACAGTGTGATATTGGAACAGTCTGCTAAATGACTAAAATGTAAATGTATCAAATTGTGTTTTGTACTGTAAAAAATGCTACGTAAAACACAGTAGCAGTTCACTTACTGTATTTGTGAATATTCAAAATAGAATGTCACACAAAAAGCAAATGGGCAACATTACTTTGTTTATGGCAGTACTGTTTTATATTATACAAAAAATATACAATCAGAAAGGTACATCATACAAATAAATCAGTTTCCATTGTTAAAAGTAAACCACAAAAATAGGAGCTACATGTAAAACGCAGGCCCCTTCTGGATATTAGGTGAATTGCAACATCACTTAGCCTGAATTCAAACACCTCTCCTCCTTCCCTCCCCCACCCCATACAATAGATTACAGTACCAGTAATGGTACCGTCAACGGATTCCAGCCAGTGAGTTGCGGTGAAGACAAGTGGACAGTTCGTGAGTTCTCTGAAGCCAAGTTACAAGTTGCTCCATGTTTCAGCTGTATTTGTGCGTGCATAATATGAGTATTTTCAATGTGATGTATACTGAGTGCACAAAACACTAGGAACACCTGCCTTTTCCATTACATAAACTGACCAGGTGAATCCAGGTGAAAACTATGATCCCTTATTGATGTCATCTGTTAAAGCTACAATATGTAACTTTTTTGGGGACCCGACCAAATTCACATAGAAAAGTGTGTTATTGATCTGTCATTCGCATTGAAAGCAAGTCTAAGAAGCGGTAGATCTGTTCTATGTGTACTATTTCTGTGCTTCCCGTTCTTAAGTTTTGTTTTTGCGTCTTTTCCTTTCGTTTTTGGACACCAGCTTCAAACAGCTGAAAATACAATATTTTTGGTTATGGAAAATATATTTCACAGCAGTTTAGATGGTACACTGATTCTGTACACTATACTTGCTTGTTTAGGTCACATAAATTGAAATTAGGCGAACTACTCGAATTTTAGCAACCAGGAAATGGCGTTGCAATTTCTGCATAGTGCATCTTTAAATTGAGACGATTGAGACATGGATTGTGTATGTGTGCCATTCTGAGGGTGAATGGGCAAGACAAAAGATTTAAGTGCCTTTGAACGGGGTATGGTAGTAGGTGCCAGGCTCACCGGTTGAAGTGTGTCAAGAACTGCAACGCTGCTGAGTTTTTCACGCTCAACAGTTTCCCGTGTGTATCAAGAATGGTCCACCACCCAAAGGACATCCAGCCAACTTGACACAACTGTGGGAAGCATTGGAGACAACATGGGCCAGCATCCCTCTTAATCTGGAAATACTGCCTCCTCAATGTTTTGGACGGACATTCTGTAGTGGTTACTACCTAATACCAGCACCTACGTTTTGCCCTATTTTAATGGTCCTTCGAATCTACAACCTAGCCAAGCTTGTCATGTCGTTCAGGCTTATTGGAACTGTCATTTGTAACTGAGACTTGTAAACGTGTGCTTTAAACAATGTACCTTTGTTGATTGCTAAGCATACAAATACGATTATTTCTTGATACATTTGAATAGAGGTCTAGTTGTGGCCGCAACCGGACTAGATTGTGTAGCCAGGCAAGGTGATAAGCACAGTCGCAAACTGCAGCCCCCCAAACAATTCGTTCTTGAGTTTGGATTTGTTCCGCATGGGTAGTATATGTTTTGGTTCTACAAAGCTGTGTCCATCACAACATTCAATAATCAATGAATTGCAGTCATTCTAGCACCATGCGATCAATGATCAGTTCTAAACATGTCTTTTTGTTCTCTATGCTCCTGATCTACGAGCAAATGACAGACAAGTGGTGGTCAGAGCACGTCTCTGGAGCCGCTGAGCCCAATATGGTGTAATTGCAGACTGCAATTCGGGGCTTTTCTTGATGTGGTCGTTCCTTGATATCAGGAAACGCTAATTAGTGCCTGCCATTGGTCAGTTCCGGTGTTATGAGACAGATTGTTTCTCGACACAGATGATTTTTTTTCATTGCAGGTTAGGATAACTAACGTGGCAGGTTAGGATAACTAACGTGGCAGGTTAGGATAACTAACGTGGCAGGTTAGGATAATTAACGTGGCAGGTTAGGATAATTAACGTGGCAGGTTAGGAAAAGGGTTAGGGTTAGGCTTAGCTACAATGCTACAGTTGTCAACAACTGTTGTCCCCGACGCGAAAGAAGCGGCCATGGACCAATGGCGAGCATCAATGGGTGTAACTTGATATCAAGAAACGCCGATATAAGAAAACATTTAACATTTAAGTCATTTAGCAGACGCTCTTATCCAGAGCGACTTACAGTTAGTGCATACATTATTTAGTATATATATATATTTTTTGTAATGTTTTCTCATACTGGCCCCCCATGGGAATCGAACCCACAACCCTGGCGTTGCAAACGCCATGCTCTACCAACTGAGCTACATCCCTGCCGGCCATTCCCTCCCCTACCCTGGACAACGCTGGGCCAATTGTGCGCCGCCCCATGGGTCTCCCGGTCGCGGCCGGCTACGACAGAGCCTGGATTCGAACCAGGATCTCTAGTGGCACAGCTAGCACTGCGATGCAGTGCCTTAGACCACTGCGCCACTCGGGAGGTTAAAACGCCCCTAATTGCGGTCTGCAATTACACCCTTCTCGCTGAGCTGGAGGAGCATGTATTACTCCAGCCGCACACAAGCCTAAGATCACCACGCGCAATGCCAAGATTCGTCTGGAATGGTGTAAAGCTCGCCGCCATTGGACTCTGGAGCAGTGGAAATGCGTTCTCTGGAGTGATGAATCATGCTACACAATCTGGCAGTCCAACGGACTAATCTGGGTTTGGCTGATCCCAGGAGAACGCTACCTGCCCAAATGCATAGTTCCAACTGTAAAGTTTGGTGGAGGAGGAATGATGGTCTGGGGCTGTTTTTCATGGTTTGGGCTAGTCCCCTTAGTTCCAGTGAAGGGAAATCTTAACACTACAGCATACAATGACATTCTAGACAATTCTGTGCTTCCAACTTTGTGGCAATAGTTTGGGGAAGGCCCTTTCCTGTTTCAGCATGACAATGCCCCTGTGCACAAAGTGAGGTCCACACAGAAATGGTTTGTCGAGATCGGTGTGGAAGAACTTGACTGGCCTGCACATAGCCCTGACCTCAACCCCATCGAACATCTTTGGGATGAAGAGTGGAGGCTGTTATAGCAACTAAGGGGGGACCAACTCCATATTAATGGCCATGATTTTGGAATGAGATGAACGACGAGCAGGTGTCCACATACTTTCGGTAATGTAGTGTAGCTGCCTATAGGCATCCTTCCTTGTTTATAGTCTACCAGTCTAATTTTAAGTCTACCAGAAATGAAAGTGAAAGCATGTTAGAATTTCCAAGAAACAAAATCCTACTATTATAGTAACTTTACCATAAAGACATCATACCTGAGAACAAAGTAAACATAGAAACGTGAGTTTTATATAAAACGCCTAAATTAACTTTAACGTGTTGTCAAGTCGGCTAGGAACTATTGAATCATAGCCGTCCGTCCGACACGAAACAACAACAATTTACGCATCATACCGCTTGATATGAAACATAAATATTACAAGGGAAGGGGATATAATAAAAGAAAACATTGTAAGGAAATAATCGAATCAGTTCAATAAAAGAAAACATTGTAAGGAAATAATCGAATCAGTTCATATTTAATGCGTCTTACCATTTACGCTGCTGGACGCCATGGGAAGAATAGTAATAGCTTTCGTTTCCCATTGAATAGCCTGCACACCAGTAAAGCTCGCTCAATCAGTTTACATTAGGGACAGGTCGAAATTTAAAGGGCAGGGGTTGTCAAACTTTTTTATTTTGCTTTGGGGAGGGTTGTGTGTTTTTTTTATTGGGCACAAGGGATGGTAGTGCGTTTTTTCCCCCTAGGTTTACATTCGCTCTTTTGCAATTTTTACTATATAATTCTTCCATCCTAAACAAATGTCCCCATCTGCTTACATGCGCCTCCCCTATTATCATGGTGTGTTGGTACTTCCCTTATGCACTACCGTTTTCCTTGCACTAACTTTGATTATAAACTGGGTGGTTCTTGCCCTGAACGCATATCAGACCATATACCACAGGTATGACAAAACATTACTTTTTAATTATGTTGGTAACCAGTTTATAATAGCAATAAGGCACCTCGGGGGTTTGTGATATATGGCCAATATACCACGGCTAAGGGCTGTATCCAGGCACTCCGCGTTGCGTCGTGCTTAAGAACAGCCCTTAGACATTGGCCATATACTGTACCACACCCCCTTATTGCTTAATTTTAAACTGGGTGGCTAGAGCCCTGAATGCTGATTGGCTGAAAGCAGTGGTATATCAGACCATATACCAGGGGTATGACAAAACATTTATTTTTACCCCTCTAATTATGTTGGTAACCAGTTTATAATAGCAATAAGGCACCTTTGTGGTATATCAAATCAAATGTTATTTGTCACATACGCCGAATACAACAGGTGTAGACCTTATCGTGAAATGCTTACAAGCCGTTAACCAACAATGCAGTTCAAGAAATAGAGTTAACAAAATATTTACTAAATACACTAAATTAAAAAATAAAAAGCAACACAATAAAATTACATAACAATAACGAGGCTATGTACAGTGGGTACCGGTACCGAGTCAATGTGCAGGGGTACAGGTTAGTCCAGGTAGTTTGTTGGGGGTAAAGTGACTATTCATACAGTCGAAAGTTTACATACACCTTAGCCAAATACATTTAAACTCAGTTTTTCACAATTCCTGACATTTAATCCTAGTAAAAATTCCCTCTCTTAGGTCAGTTAGGATCACTTTATTTTAAGAATGTGAAATGTCAGAATAATAGTAGAGAGAATAATTTATTTCAGCTTTTATTTATTTAATCACATTCCCAGTGGGTCAGAAGTTTACATACACTC